ATCACCACCAACACGACTACTGCTATGGTTCCACGACTACAAACAGTAGTACTAGCACGTGTACTAGAGTGCTAGTAATGGTAGTCGTCGTAGTCGTGGTGGTGGTGGTAGTAGTAGTAGTTGTTGTTGTGGTAGTGGTAGTGGTAGTGGTAGTTGTAGTTGTAGTTGTAGTTGTAGTGGTAGTGGTAGTTGTTGTTGTCGTTGTTGTTGTTGTTGTTGCTGCTGCTGCTGCTGCTGCTGTATTGTGTTGTATTGTATTGTATTGCTGTCGCGCTGTCTTTCCCGTCGGAGCTGTCTGAGCCGTCGTCATCCACAGTCAACCTCGACCAGTGCTGTCAACATGCGTTTGCTCCTTGTGTTGTTTGGCTGGTGGTTGCACAGAGGATGGCAGCACCACAACTTGCACTGGCCGCACCAGCCAGTACCGTCATACAAACTTCGGGTAGACAGACAGAACGCATCGGGAGCAGATTCTTTTGTCTAGTTCGAACAAGGCCTGGAAGCCTGCCTTTTGCTGTTCTGGATTTGGGCTAGGGGTGCGAACTTTGTGCAAGAGTTGGCTAGGCTGCAGATATGCTAGAGCTGTTGGGGCGGAGATGCTGTATCTATCAGGCGTCTTCTTCACTGAAGGCATGCGACCAGTGGACATGCATCTTGGCCTAGGAATAGGCAAGTCCTCACCTTTGCTGTAGTCGCTCTTCGAATTCGGAAGCATCGATTTCTTCAGTGTCACGAGAAATGTCGGCATCCTATTCACTCTAGCCATAGCTTCAAGTCATTGTTTGTCAGCAGACCCGTCCCCAGACCGCTGAAATGACTTACAGACCTCATAAACCCGTAACGAACCCAATACAAGGGGACCACGAAAGAGCTTTCGACGGAGGCGATGGCGAACCCAAGTCCAAACCTTGCGGGCATGTCCAAACCGAGTCCGAGTGCGTCGCTTCTAGGCTTTGAGGAGGCATAAGACTGCATGGCATGGCCTCAAGAAGGTTACTTACAAACGGCTCGGACTTCAACTTGTCAACATGATCGAAGCCCGACGTCTTGGAAAACTCGGGTAAGCAGTTTTGTTTCCATTTCTTCTCAGACCTTGAGGCTGGGGATTTGCTGGGTTCTACGATAGGGAACTGCCCCAAGCCAGTAGCTCAGCGGCCCTGATGAGCTCTGAGAGATTCGCAGCCTCTTTCACGAGGTCGGCCATGGAGACGGAGGTCGCCCCTTTGCTCCTCTTGTTGTGAGCTGGTTGTGTGTGTACGCCAGCAGCAAAAAGAGAGCTCTGAGAGCTTCTGCCAGGACTTGGGTGCCTGCAAGAAGCGGAAAGGTTCAACTCCAGGTCCGATGGGGATCTCGGTTCAGTCCTTCTGGGCAGATGGGCTATGACCCGAATGGTGATGCTGACGACGTGATTCTTTATGAATTGGGTAACGATGCTGGTGGCGGCCATGGGCGATAATGATGATGCTGTAACAGTCATGCCGATGGTTGCTGGTGGTTATTGTTCTTACAATCATGTTTTTGCTGCCGTTGCTGCAGTTTTTGTTGTTCAGTGCCGCAGATGGAACGTGGTTGTGTTTCCGGTTGTTCGTCGTTGATTCTGTTTTAGCCGCTGCTGCTGTTGCTGGTTCTACTACTGTTGTTGCTCCGGTTGGGGGATGTATTTCGCCATGGCCGTGGAGCGCGGGTTCTGCCAAGGGTCAAGCACGGAATTGGACCGTCTCTTCACTGTCATGCAGCACGGCATGTAAGTAAGTCTTGTAAGTGTTCGGCTGCTCTGAAGAGTCTTTCGGGACTTACCTTCAAGCTCTGGGCATCGGAGTTTCCGAACCTACTTTTGTGCATTGCTCCTGTCGCTGCCGCCAGGCTCGGAGATTTGGTGCCGATGCAATCATCAGGGTGGCCTCTTGCTTCACAGATCGATCTTGAAAAGGGACACAGGATGCTAAGAAGCTGAGTGGGGCTCGTGCCTTCAATCGAAACGCCCCAAAGTGTAAAAAGATCTTGGAAAGGGGTGCTCACCCCAAGTTTGTGTGCTCATAGCGGCATAGCGTGTAATCATCCGTGAGGATGACCCCCAACACTGGGTTAGTCTGAGCCGCCGAATCTCGCGACGACGACGACGACGACATCGGTGCTGCTGCGAGTGCTGCGGCTACTGCTGCTGCTAGCTGCTACTGATACCGAAACCTTTGCTGCGACCACCACCTCTAGCAATGTCCAATTCCGACTGTTGGTTTGTCGGTGTCACATTTGTGCAGGTTTTAGGCATGAGAGGCCGTAAGAAGCACAGGCTCTTCACCATCAGGTTCCAACCACCCGAAGAGCTTCGGTTGAGCATGTGAGGGTTAGGAACTCAAGAAAGGCATCCCATGCTTTCTGCCCGCAAAAAATCCCCAGTCTTGGAACCTCAAGCTGAAAGGCATATATTCGACAGCAGCTCAGGACCAATCGTGAGCCAGGAGGCGTGTGAGGACCCCAATGGAGATCGAAAGACGAAATGCCAATGGCCCTGTGCTCAGCAGGATGAGCATGATGACGTCACGAAAGCTAGCAGAGCCGGGTTGAAGTGCCAGAAAGCTGCAAGCTATTGGTTCCATCATGGGAGAGGGCAGCTTGGAACAGTTCACCGGATTTCTTTTGTTTTTGGAGGAGGGGGACACTAGTGGCTCTTGGAATGGGATCCCGTTTTGTTGGGAGGGAGGGGGGTGTGGACAGTCGACAGTGACAATAGCAACACCAATTCTCAATCACAGGACCAACAACCACAAAACAACGTCAAGAAGAGCAGCAGAAACAACAAGGACGCCAAACAGACGTACGACATCATACGACAACGACATGAGGCTAGCAGAAACCGCAACAGACAGAAGCGGTCATACTGATGCGGACACTTGCAGTGGCATTGCCTGTCAGAGTAAAGACTACTCGAGCACTGAAACTCCCCGGGCCGGGCCTCCTCCTCTCGTACTTTGGGCTTCGGCTTGCCTGTCAATAAGAGTCTACGACTGAGCATGTCAACTTGCCACCACCACCACCCCACGGCGGCGGCAGCGACTGCTACTGCTGCTGCCACTGCTGCTGCAGCTGCTGCTGTCTCGAAGTGCTTTTCAGTTGGGAAACATCATGCCACACTTCTGCGGGATCGGAGCGCATGGCAACAGAAGCCTGCCACTTGAAAGCCAGTTTACACCCGAAAAGTCACTGGAACTGGCCCTCCAGGGCAGCTGGGCGCAAAGATCTAGCTTCTTTCTAGCTTTCCATTTTTTGCTTTTCCTAGCTTTTCTAGCTTTCCCAAGCTTTTTCTAGCTTCATCCACCTTTCCTTGGCCCACTTTCGCGGTACAGTGACAGGGCTCCTATAACGGAGACTGAAAGACTGTAAGGGATCTTCCTTTGGCGGTTGTGAGTCAAGTTGAAGCCGGATGCCAGAAGTCCAAAGTGACTGCTCTTGCACACTGTCCATAGCTTTCTTTAGTTTCTCGCAGAGCACCTCCAAATACTATTGTTTTCCCGCGATGCCAACGAGACACCATAATATACAGAGGAACCTTATCAACCCATTTGATACTTCTGCTGCCGCAGACAAATCGAGAAGTGTACAACACTGCTGCTATATACTGCTGCTGCTACTACTACAAATTACTACACCACCATTGCCTCAACATTCAATACCACTAGGCCTGCAGGTGCTGCACGTCTTAAGAATAAATGTAGCATTAGCCTCAGTTGTGGCGAGTGCATGCAGTAGACGTCCGTTCCCAGGGACGAGGAGCAATTGAAGTGCTTGCCGAAACTCGGCATGTTATGAAGATGGTGCATGTTTTCTCAAGCGGATAATGTAAGACAGCATGATTGAGTTGTCCCAACATCGTCACGCCTACGACCGGAATATTTTTTTCGAGTGGCCTGGCATCTCCATTTCCTGAGGCAAGGTTGTAAAGGGCTTCCAGGTGGGGGATTCGATGTGATGTGCAGGGGTCAAAGAAAGTGGCAAGTTCCAGACTCCTCGACAGCATTCTAAAGCAGTCAGTGTGCATCTTGTCGGCTTTTCCGTATTGGGGTGTTGGCACGGCACCGACTGAGGTGAAGTAGATTAAGTAGATGTCCAAGTTACGCGGGAAGCTGTTGGAAGCGCTGTTCATGAAGTCTTACCGGAAGACGCATCAGCAGCTGCTGTAGCTGTTATGCGCTGTTTGCAGTTCGATGTTGTTTGTCCACGTGTTCCCAGACTCTGCTCGGCGATGTGTGGTTCTGGTCAGTATCTTTAGCATGCCAGACGAAGTCTTGCAAATGTGAGGGGCCTCGAGTCGTGGAGGGACCGAATCCAGAAATAAGGGACGGCTGTGTCCGGTCTTCCAATGACCCCTGTACTTTTCCTAACCTAAGGCAGTATGACATGCTTAGTTGAAGTGTTTGACTTCTCAGCCCCATGTCAGCCTAAGGACGGCCCCGGCGACCAGCACACCGGAGGACATCTTCTCCCAGATCCACGAAGTCAGCGAAAATCTAAAGAGCCCGTACAGCATGGCAGTGTTCATCAATGTGTGTATGTATAATGTATGGTAAAGAAAGCAAGACTTGCCGAGTGCGGGCGTCGGAGAGGGTTGGAAAAAAGTGAATGAACAAAGTAAATTTAAATACAGCGACTAAGGGAAGTAAGGTAAACAACTAGACAGATAAGACGTACACAAGTACATCAGTATATGAATACATACCCGTGCGCATAAATGAGTTCATAAACCGATACACCAGAATGGCACATGCTTGCAAGTACATACATATCATTCCCAGGATGTCGCCGCCAACTCTAGACCACGTTAATGCGCCCTCCGCTCATGTGCTCTTGGCCGTGAGTGGTTGCGTGGTGCTGCTTATCCTATTGAAAGAGCGCAGGAGCTCAAGCCACACTTTCGGTTTTGGGAAGGGGGGCGGTGATGGTTTTTGCTCGGTAGCCGAGGAACGATGACACAAATATGTCGTGGCTTGGAAGCATTGTCCACAGCCCACAGCCGAGCTGCCGGGGCTAGAAGGGTTTAGCAAAAAGGTCTCCCGGAGCAATCAGCAGCGGATTCGACTTGATCGGTTCGCGTTGCTTGATCTTTGCAGACAGTCTGGAAGTGTGGCTTGTGTGACTGAGGCTGCGTGACCTTGTTACAAACACGTCGCTCGAGCTGCATTAGCTTGGATCTGTTGCGCTCTGTTCGCAGTGCTTGCTCTCGTCCATGTTAGCCTGTCAGCAAGTCAGGACAACGCCGGGGCCTCATTGGCTCCATCCCTGGCATGCTGTGAACTATGTCGGGAGCTGGGTCTCCCCCTCCTCTTATGCGACGACAACCACCACATCAGAAGTACCGGAGGTGATGCAGCGAGAGTGGCTGAGCTGAGATCAGAATTGGGATTGGTGGGAACGTCGCGCTTCGTTGCTTACTTTGGAACTGTGTCTCGCGAGTGAGTGCATGGAGTATTGGATTTAAATCTTCACACCCGCTGCTGTCTTTTCTGTGGCTCAAGTTTCCTAAGGTTGAACTTTGAACCCAAAATGAAAAGCCTTCCGCAATCGTCGCTCGGCGACATTACATGATCAATCTGCTTTGGGGATGATGGGGGCCCGGTGTCGGAGTGTTACTGGTGAGACAGGTCAGAGGAGTCAGAGGATCATACGCTCCGCGGCAGCAATTCCAACAAAAATACGCTGATGTGGTTTCTTCAGGCGCTGGGCCTTATGCGGGGCGTGAGCACACCAGAGTGCCTGTCGGGTGGCGGAGAGGAAGAGAGCGAACATATCTACCATACCACAGTGAACTTCTTGCCTTCTGGGCTGTGCCTTGCGTCTCGTCCCGAGGACTAGCAGCGAGGCGTCTCATGTGCACACAGAGCCTACAACGCAATCTGCGCAGCTCGGTAGGGTAATTCAGTCCAAGTCTGAGTGCCAAGACGCCAAGACATGACAGCGAGTTCTCTGCGCACCTCGGAGGTTTCCAGAGTCGCCAGGGAC